CATGTATTTTTTTATTGTTTATTATAATTTTTTTTAAATAAAATTTTTTTTTTTTTTTAACTTAACTTTATTGCTATCACACAGGAGCTAACAAGCGCCTGTGTGATAGCATTTGTAGTTGACAGGTTCTCTTTATTGAACTTGTCACTTCCAATACAGAAGTTTCAGCACAGTACTGTGCTAGAATTTCTGTGACAGCTGAGATGCGAAGGCTGTGATGGCGAGGCTGCAGCTCTTCCGTCTAAGTGTTCACATGGAGAAGAGCAGAGAACGGACGTTCTCCGCTCTGCTCCTTGCTCTCCATCCTGCACAGAGGGTCTCCATCTCCGGAGAGAGGTGGCTTGCAGGGAGAGAGGTAGATGGCGGGGAGAGAGGTAACTGGCGGGGAGAGAGGTGGGTGGCAGGGGGGACAGGCCTGCAGACTGCATACAAGTGACCTCAGTGACATCGCCGAGATCACTTGTACAAAACGAGCGGCGGCTTCCCCGCTGTAAACTTAGCCATGCTTGCCCAAAGCAGGGCTAAATGTAGAAAACAACTACCCGCCCGGAGCCTGGAACTGCAGGTCCCGGGCGTCGGGAGATAGGAATTCCACACCCCTGCCGCACCTCTACTCCCTGCCACCCTGAGGCTGAGCCTCGGTTGGCATTGTGAGAAATCTGGCCCTGGTGGTCATCAGGAGAAAGTGGGAGAGGGAATCTCCCCAACTGAGACACAGACAGCAATGAAAACCTGATAGGGATTGTAATCTTTCCCCATTCTATCCAACACTAAAAACAATGGGGGAAATTTGTCAAAACTGGAGCAGACAAAATCTGGAGCCACAGTGCATGGCAACCATTCAGCTTCTCTGTTCAGTTGGTTCAGCTAAGATTTGAACATAAAAGAGAGAAGATGATTGGTTGCCATGTACAGCTGCTCCAGATTTTGTCTCCTCCAGTCTTGATAAATTCCATTCAATGTTTTTACTGTAGGTACATATTAACATAATTTAAATTAACATTAGGGCATAGGTTCACTATAAGGCAATATCTTTCTTGTAGTATGAAGGATCCCAGAATCTACCACAGTCAGGGCCGGACTGGGACTAAAAATAGGCCCGGGCATTTTAGACTGAGCAGCCCAATCACGTGACCACCAACAGGCCCCACCCCTCACAACAGGGGGCGGAGCCAAACACAGAAGCGCAATCGGGGGGCAGGGTCAGCCACTAGTAAGTACCAGAGGGCTACAGCTGACACACAAGCCTTGCTACAATATAGGAAGCTTGCTATAGAGAATATCTGTAATCCAACCAGCTTTCTCAATTCAGAAATTTCTGGATTGAGAAAGCTGGTTGGATGGCCAGTGAAACGTCTTCAAGAAAAATACAGAAAGTCCAGTTGCCTTGACTTATTTTTTACAGATATACCATGTGACCTGGATGAATGAGAACCTTCACAGACATATTGCTATAGAGAATCGGATCTCACTGGCCCCCCAACCCCCCTGGCATTCTCTGCACTAAAGTAGCTAACACTCTAATGTCCCCCGCACAGTCACACACTATTATTATACATTTATAAAGCTCTGACATATACCGCAGTGCTGTACAGAGAAGTCACATCAGTCTCTGTACAGAGGAGCTTACACTCTAATGCAGAATACATCAGCTATATAGGACTAAAAATCCCTGCAAAACATTATCTCGGGCGCCCCCCCACACACTTAAATTACCCCACGCGGCTGTGGTCTCAGGTGGGCTTTGCAAGGTCTGTGGTGGGCTCTGCGGGGTCTCAGGCTGCTAACCCCACCTGAGACCCTGCAGAGCCC